TAGAAAACCCCAATGTCAGTTACAGTTGTTTGCATTCATATTGCAAAATATGAAATTAGAAAGAAAACAATTTCAAATGCTCCGCACCAGAAACACATAATTGGTTTTTTTTTTGTTTTGTTTTTTTTTGCACTCCCCAATTAACACCAGGATCGCTATAGTGAAGAACCGAACCTTCTGGTCACGAAGTACATTGTTCTACCACTAGCCACAGTCCTCGTCTCTGATTAAGAACAAAGCGTTTGTTCTGACTTCAGATCATTAGAATACCTTTCGTCTGATAGATTTTTCAGAAATTAGTGCTTATTATAAGGAAGCCATCTGGTTCTGTAACTATATATGATGCTGTTGGTAAAGTCTTCATTTAAAAAAATATTTAGCTTGTGATTCTCTACCTTGTGCAGGCGAGATAAAGAAGACCAGCCTAATAAAAGGATGTAACTTTTTTTTCACTAGACACTGACTTTTTGCGATCGCTATAGTGATTCGCAAAACAGTGATTCCTATGAGGGAGTTTCGCTGGACAATGTTTGGTCCCTGCATCGTAAACTGATTTTCGCTAGATGACGATTTTGACAGCTCCCTCCGTGCTTGCAAACAGGTGTTTTCGGGATCTAAGCTTCGCAAGACAACTATTTAAACTGCTGATCGGCGGTTCACAAAGCGGCTTTCCTATGGCCGATCTTCGCTAGACAACGACGATTCTTCCCCATTGGAACGCATTAAACAGGTTTCAATGTATTCCAATGGGGAAATGCTTTTCGCTAGAAGATGATTTCGCTAAACAGCGATTTCAGTGGAATGGATTATCATCATCTAGCGAGGCACCACTGTATACATATTGTAACTTCATCATATAAAAATGAAGTTACACAATTGGCCATATGGGATTTTTCTTTTAATATTTTCAGACCATGGATAAGTGAATCAGCGGATACTGATCCCAGAGATAAGGGGGTCCTACTGTACCTTGATTTGGATTTCTGTACTGAACAAGAATTTGAACTTGATGGCATTATAGGACTTTCCAATTCCATTGTTCTATACTCTATGAAATATCAGGGAATACACTGAATTTCATATATACATAGTGGTACCAGTAACAAAACGAGTTAGTGGAGGGCAAGTTTTTTTTTTTAAAATCTGTAAAGCCAAAGAGATTAAATTCACATAGTGGTACCAGTAACAAAATGAGTTAGTGGAGGGCAAGTTTTTTAAAAAAAAAATCTGTAAAGCCAAAGAGATTAAATTCAAAGCAATAAGTCTTTAACCTTCCCAAAAAGAGAAGAGGTAGATAATGTGGGTTTTTTTTTCCTGCCAAGCCCACAGATGAATGGGAGACAGGTTGTTTCCTTCATCAACTCTTGCTGTAGGAGCAGTTTAGCTTTTCTCCCCCTGCCTTCATCAGAAGCAAAACTGAGCAAATCTGTAAAGCCAAAGATCCTGGCAGTTTAGCAAACATCAAACTCTTGCAGCCTTCTCTTGCCAAAAGGCAATGGGGGAAGATTCAGCAGCACCATTCTGCTGACAGAAATAGTCCTAGCAGCAAAAACAAGAAGAATCCTTTTCCCTCGCAGTGTCTCCCAGAATCTTCTCTATACCCCATGGATTTTAGGACAGCAAATGGTGCCACTGGGGTGTGTGGAGGAGCAAAACAAGAAAAATATCAAGCAGTTTTCCCAACTTTTTTGGGAAGCTATATGGGGCCTGCGTGGACTCAGCTGCCTAGACATCTGGAAGCTTTATTTTCCCAATGATTTCAGCAAGGCTGAGGAAGGAAGATGAATCACCACCAGACAAACAACCTCATCATTATTTAGAAAAGCAAGAATTATGACAAGCCTTAGGTTGGCTAAATAATTTCAGAGAGTTCCCAATTGATATTCACAGCAACTCCACTTGTACGGAACTGTTGACAAGCAATCTTAAAAATCTGAACAATGCAGTGAACGTACCTCTAGAACCATAAACATCTTCTTTTCCGTCTCAATCACATGGTACAATCGGCAGATATTCTGGTGACTTAAGCTCTTCATGGCTTCAATTTCTGTTTTTACACGAGGCAAGTCATCCTAAGAGAAGAATTTATGGAATTTCCAAATAATCTTATGGCACAATGAACTGAGGGCAAATAGAGATTCCCCTCCAAAAAAACTGAATTTTTGCTTTCTTCCCCCTGACCTTTTCTATCTTTTTTCTATTAAGTCCATTACACTATAAATCTGTTGACTGAGTAAACTGCTACCTTCACTTGGGAAAGGCCCAGCATGGGCAGCAAGAGAGTAAAACACTTGTGTTCCCTTCCTCGGAGAAAAAGCAGTACCTTTATAAGAGCTGACATTCTATCAACCCTCAGTCTTAATTCAGAACAAATTGTTATGTCTAGCCACCAAGACACCCAAGGAGCCAAATAGTATGAGGCAGGAAGGAGGACTGAAGTCATAATGACTCTTGATGTCATAAGTGTGCTATTTTGCTCACAAACTAGTCAAGGGGAGCAAACATGGTGGACATCCTGTCAGCAAAGACACATTCATTGTGGGTCTACAGTTGACTGGGGAAGTGAAGGGAAGAAGAAGCAGGAACCTGATGTAAGGGTACAAGGGAGATCAAAAAGAAGATGTTGAGCATAATCAACTGGGTTACTCCTGGGCCAGATTTTAACATATTTTACATTCACCACCATTTAAGACATAATGATCTCATTTGAAAGCCAATAACTGGATCCTAATTTCAGGTATAAGTTAGAGTATTAGGACACCCAAAGTGATTCCAGAAGATTAAACCCTGTCTTTGATGTTCCATGGCCCAAAGATTAAACCCTGTCTTTGATGTTCCATGGTCTTTAAGACCCGAAAACACCCTACAGTTTCAGGTCACTGATGTTAGAAATATAGTTAGAAATTTCATTTATATAAAATAAATCTTTCTTCCATAGGAAAATTCACTTACCCCCAAAGCCAGCTTGTCCATTATTTTTACTGCAACTTGTTCACCAGTAAGTAGATGACGAGCTAGCTTAACTTTGGCAAAGCCACCTACAGGAAGAAAACCACAAGAATTCCAGACTTAACATCCGGGTTAAACTCCACTGAAGATCAATACATGAAAGGCTATTGGCGGAATATTTCTCAATATTTCTCTCCTCTAACTTGCACCTGGATGTTGCAGACCAGCTAGACCAGGGAGGCAAAGAAAGAGGTGGGGTCAGTCAATGAGAAGGGAAAAGAGTGAGAGTGAACACTGGGCAGATGCACCAGAGTAGGGAAGAATTAGGCCCTACCACCTTTGCACCATCAAGAGTTAGTTCTCTTTTAGATCCTACTCACTTATGAAGGGGCTCAAAACAGAGGACCCTAAAAGTCCTAGCAAGGCCAAGAGCTGAGTAAGGGCTGTGCCTGAGGCTACGAGGAGAGGTCCAGAATAGGCAGAAGACTGAACCATGACCATACAATGTCATTTGCACAGTGAGCAACAATTCACTCTTATGGGGACTAGGAGACATCCGAAAAGGCAGGCTGGACGTTTGCAGGCCTTGAACTGTTATACAAAGTGTGCAGGTGTGGCAATGGCAATCCTCCCCCACTCCCTTGATAAGCAACTACCTAAGCAATAGCTAACACAGTGAAGAGAATTTATGTGGCAGTGATAGTGTGCATAGTTCACAATAAATTTTTTGTTGATGAACACTGATTTTGGATTTTCTTCAATATGATGAATGAGAAAGGAGTATCGTTGGTGGTCCCCTTCCCCTCAGAGGAGGCATAGCCCTTCACGATATCAAACTGGATTTGGTATTTATTACTTATAAGTCCTGCTCTTCCCTCAGCTTGAAGCCACCAAATTTAACTGCTTGGGCAGCCATCTCTCATTAAAAAAAACTCTAATCTGGCATGCTGTCATAGAGTCAAATGTGTATGGTGAAACTCTAAGCATAGCTTTGGGGATGCTTATCCCATTGAACAAAGTGGAATTCCTTTGTGTGTAGTGTGCTTAGATTCTGAATTAAATCAGAGAAAACCCTGCTCATAATAAAATTTTATAAACATGCTATAAGGTACTTCTTTGGGGGTTTGGTATCAATAAGCAGAAAACAAATCTAGAATGTTTATTTTTACTATTTTTATTAGAAACTATGTACAATCTAAGCCTTTATTTTAAAAACATTCTAAGGAGCATACCTGTACCAACAGTTTCATGTAGTTCATAATATTTGAGAAGCTCCTCATAATCATCCACAGCCATAACGAGATGGAGAAATATCCCCTTTAGATACCTGGCAGAACATAAATGTTACAATTTATGTGAAGATAATCATGCTGAGGTAAGGCTACAGCCAGTCAACTGTGAATAATCCCATATTTACTTTATATACTGAGAACTTGACTATCATATTAAGTTTTATAAGCATGCAAGATTTGACCCCACTATTTAAACCTTGCAAAAAATTCCCTAGTCAGACAAAGAGGAAACTAAGTGGGCACACGTTGGAAGGAGAAGGCTCTGGAATTTCTTTAGCAGAACAAATCAAGTGTTAAAGCTGCAGTCCATCCTACTCTGTGAAATTAAAGTCATCACCAAAAACAAAATTGCCTATTGAAAACAAGCAAGACTACACCATAGACTTGCCTATGACATCACAATGCTGTCTTGCCTACTATCACTAACCACCCCCTCACATAGAAGATTATTAATCATCACCACAGTTTGGACTGCTTTTTTCAAGTATTTCTGGAAAAGATCTTCAAATTCATTGTGAACTTCGAGTAGGAAGAGCACAGTATCATATAGTAGAGTGGTGCCTCGCAAGACGAATGCCTTGTGAATCTTCAAATTCATTGTGAACTTTGAGTAGGAAGAGCACAGTATCACAGTATCATAGTAGAGTGGTACCTCGCAAGACGAATGCCTTGTGGGACGAAAAACTCGCAAGACAAATAGTTTTGGTGATGGGGTTGATGACTCGCAAGATGAATGTTCCTATGGCCATGCTTCGCAAGACAAATTGTTTGTTTTTTGTTCCTGCCTCATGTTTGCTGATTTGTAAATGTTTTTCTATGATGTTTCAAAAGTTAACGTTTTTTGATTGAAATTTTTAAAATCATCTGCACAATATCTATGGCTTTAAAAAGCACTTAATAAACCCTTTGTAAACCAAATTTGACTTTGTTCTGACTTTTTTGCCTATAGGAATACATTAATTAGATTTCAATGCATTCCTACAGGAAAACACATTTCATAAGACAACATTAACCACGGAATTAATTAAATTCATCTTGCGAGGCACCACTGTAATAGGCAATTAATGGCACTTCAAATTTTCCATATGCCTTTCTGCCAAATACTCAAAGGTTGTCTTACCAGCAAGAATAATCAGTACTGTCTAGCCTGTTTCTTTTAATAGTGCTGTAAATCCCAAAATACTTTTTACAAATGTGTGAATATGCTTTTATTATTCTCAAATGAGTTTCAGATGACACACACTAGAGTTAGCACATTCAGTAGTTACAGTAACACTGACCACGTACTGGCAATGTGTTATAATCATGTAATGGAGTGGAGAAAACAGTCAGGCTTCTGCCTTGGGGTTCTCGCCATGTCATCCCATCATAAATATGAATGGGATCAGGTCACAGATTCTGACATCTGAACACTTCCCCAGGAGCCCTACAGAATTTTATAGACCCTTAGGGGAAAAAATCAGAAGCCTGTTTGTTACAGCAAGCATTTATCCCAATTAAGGGTTAATTCCAGACTGAAACCAGATGATCATTTTCAATAATATGAAAATCCATTTGGATATCAAGGTAAGTTTCATTTTTTCAGTAACTCCAGGCAACATCAGTTTGTCTAATTCTACAGTTTGCTTTATCCATGTTGCTTCTATTCCATATATACAAAGTACTCCAAAAAGTAACAAGTTAGTAACAGTCTTACAGGTTTTTTTAAAAAAACTGTAGGCACAAATACTTAAACAGAAATCCTTGCAACTTGTGAAAAAGTTGCAGATGTGACTGCCATCCAAAATACAGTAAGAAAATATTTTAAGAGTTTAACAAAAATGAGAATCCTTCAATATATTGTATCTTATATCCTAAGATGGCACAGTTAAAACATGGAGAATACAACTCTAAAATACCAAAGTTCTTAAGAATGAAAATATATATTTTAAATGCCTTTCTCTAAGCATATTACGAACATACACATCATCATTCTATAATGTTTTTGCCTGGCCAAGGCAGTTTGAATCTATGGAGAAAAATTCATGTTGGTTGTTGTTGTTGCCTTTTGGAACCAAATCTTGCTGTTGCACTGCTACATGATTGTTGTTCGTATCCAGGATATGTCATGTAGTGTGAAGTTGCTTTGCTATGATGAGTTCAATTTGTGTATGTTTTATCTTCCTATATTGAACACTCTTTCAGATGTTCATATCTGTCTCACAACCTGTAAATAATCTCTTTCCCAAAGGTCTGGAAATCCATGATTTTTTTAAAAAAATAGGAATCTCAATTGTTCCTGCCCATATTGTAACTCCAAGTGTTTGTAACTTAAAATCTGGCAGGCTGCCACTATGGCAATAGCATCACTGTTATGACTAAAAATTCTGCAAAGCTTGGAGGACTAAAGATCTGTGGTACCTGGATCCTGAAAAACCAGAATATTGCAACTATAAGGTATTGGAACTACAAAGAATAAAAGCTATAGGGCCTGCAAATACTGCCTCCATATTTACTCTCTGCAACATAAAGAATTCAAGTATCAGGATTGTTACAATACAGTGACCTTGTTAGTTGAAGAGCAGGCTAATTGTTTTGCAAGGACTATGGTAAACTACAGTGGTGCCTCGCTTAACGATGTTAATTGGTTCCAAAAAAACATCACTATGGGAAACATCGTTAAGCGAAACACCATTTCCCATAGGAATGCATTGAAAACTGCTTAATCCGTTCCAATGGGAACGTATTGCTGTCCTTAAGCGAAAATCCCCATAGGAAACATCGCTAAGTGAAACAATGTTTTCCCCAAGGGAAAGCCATTCAAAAGCACTGAAGCTGGCTTAACGGACATCGTTAAGTGAAATTCCCCGAAAGAGAACATCGTTAAATGATGAGGAAATTTCCTCAAAGAAACCCATCGCAAAGCAAATACATTGTTAAACGAAGCAATCGCTAAGCGAGGCACCACTTATGTTCAAGTCTCTATTTTAAAAGCACTTTCATCTCCAGAGCTATTTTTCCCTTTTATTATTTTAACACTCCCTGTCTAAACATTCGAAAGTTCATATCTTGACAAATCAACTTGTTCAGGTGCATGTTTTTTCATTCACTTTTCACACCCAGCTTAATTCAGTGATTCCCCCTGCTTCAAAAGAGCATCCTTGCTTGTGGTTTACACACACACATGTTCACCATCTCCTTGCGGCAGACTGACTGCACCTCCAAGAATCCTCTGTTCAATGACACTTCCACTATCTTAAAGTGTGCACTTTCAGAGAAATGATAAGAGCATGCCTCTGACAATACAAAGTTGCAGAGAGATAGCAGCTGTTTTTGCGATTTAAAAGGAATCAGCATCACTCAAGGAACCTGTTCAAAGCAATCATTGAGATTTTAATAGGGCTGTAAATATTTTTCCATCATTACATAATGCAGAGAGGGGGAAAAGGTCAAACATCAACTTTAGTAAAAATTGGAATATAGGTTCTGATAAACTCTACAGTGGTGCCTCGCTAGATGATAATCCGTTCCACTGAAATCACTGTTTAGCGAAATCATTCTCCAGCGAAAAGCATTTCCCTATTGGAATGCATTGAAACCTGTTTAATGCGTTCCAATGGGGAAGAATCATCGTTGTCTAGCGAAGATGGGCCACAGGAAAGCCGCTTTGTGAACCGCCGATCAGCAGTTTAAATAGCTGTCTTGCTAAGCTTAGGTCCCGAAAAAACCTGTTTTGCGAGCTCGGAGGGAGCTGTCAAAATCATTGTCTAGCGAAAATCAGTTTGCGAAGCAGGGACCAAACATTGTCCAGCGAAATTCCCCCATAGGAATAACTGTTTTGCAAATCCTTATAGCGATCGCAAAAAGTCAGTGTCTAGCCAAAAAACTGTCATGCGGGGTAACTGTCTAGTGAGGCACCACTGTACTTCTCATCTTCCTATACAGTAGGAAGGCAGTATCCACGGGCGATTGGTTCCAAGCCCCCACCCCCACCGCTGGTGGAAAACACATAAGTATTGAATACTATACAGTGGCGTCTTGACTTGAGAACTTAATCCGTATTGGAAGGCGGTTCTCAAGTCAAAAAGTCTGTAAATCAAGTCTCCATTGACCTACAGTGCATTGAAAACCGATTAATCCCGTAACAGGCCGTTTTTGTTCCATTTTGGTTTTTTTCTGGTCTGTAAGTCAAATCTCAGTCTGCAAGTCAAACCTAAATTTTGCGGCCAGAGAAGTCTGTAACTCAAAAAGTCTGTAAGTCAAGCCGTCTGTAAGTCAAGGGTCCACTGTACATTCCATGGTCTCTAGCGACCAGTTCTGGTAAATACACCCTGGAAATATATATAAATACATAGTTTGGAGGGGGATATTTCATATTTTCAGGCAGTGGATAAGCAAATCAGCAGGCAGAGATTCAGCAGATAGGGGGTCCTACTATACTGTTGTTTCCAGCTCTGTATCTCTTCAGAAAGAAATACAGAATTACAAATGTTAATAATGATATCTATCTTTCTGGTGACCTGTTGTGGAAAAACCTCATTAAAGAAGTTAACAGTGGTTACCCAGAGTTGCAAAGGGTGCCCATAATAGTTCAAGCTTCAGGGCCCCAAAAATGCCCCCTAAGGAGGGTCCAAACATGCAAGCAAGTGGATTATACCAAACCACCCTGAAATACTATACGTTATAAGACGGTTAGATTACAATAATTTCTTTTTCCTGGGAAAATCCAGTTCTCTCCTCATTGTTGCGAAGATTGCAGCTAAGTGGAACAGGGAAGGCTAAAGGGGTGGCAAATAATAGAATTGTCCATGGTATTCAAAACTTCCTGAGATTTCAACCCTGCTGGTCCTGGTTCCACAACACCACTTGACAAAGTTAGGTTGTTGTTATGTGTTATCAAGTAGCTCCCAACTTATGGTGACCCATTGAATAGTCATTCTTCATAATGTCTTGTCCTCCACAGTCCTGTTGGGCTTCTTTAGGGAGTCAATCTATGTCATATTTGGTCTTCCTTTTTTTTCCTGCCGCTTTCAGTCTTTCCCAGTATAGCTGTACT